AGCCAGTTTGAACCCAACCTAATTAAACATAGTCTCTCTCTCTCTCTCTCTCTCTCTCTCACACACACACACACACACACACACACACACACACACACGCGCGCGCGCGCACACACACACACACACACAGTCAACAAGTCAACAATAGGACAGAATGTACAGCTATTGCTGTTGCAGGCAGACAGTTTACAAAGGCTATGTAAACTACTAGGCTACCAAGAATAGTGCAGTCTTCACTGAGGGATGATGGGGAAAGACACCAAAACACCCTCAATGCAAAAAGCCAAGAATATTTCTAAAATCTTGACTACATCAGTCTATTTTATCTTATTGGTTTGCTTTTGATTTTTTAAATTTCTTTATTATTATTTTTAAGATTTATTTATTATGTAGGCAGCATTCCTTCCATGTATGACAACATATGCCAGAAGAGGGCGCCAGATCTCATTATAGATGGCTGTGAGCCACCATGTGGTTGCTGGGAATTGAACTCAGTACCTCTGGAAGAGCAGTCAGTGCTCTTAACCACTGAGCCACCTCTCCAGCCCTGCTTTTGATTTTTTTAAAAAAGATTTTTATTTTATATGAATAAGTGTTTTGCTATATGTACATCTGCACACTGCCTGTGGTGTGTTTGGTACCTGCAGAGCCAGAAGGTGTCATAATGTCCTGGAACTGAAGTGACAGATAGTTGTGAGCTGTCACATGGGCTCTGGGAATTGAAATCTGGCTTTCTGTGAAAGCATGAAGTGCTCTTAAACCCTGAGCCATCGCTCCAGCTCCTATTTTTGATTAACATTTTATTTATTTTTTGAGAACTTCAAACATATAGTATGTTTTGATCATATTCACCTTCCATCCCACCTCCAACTACCTGAATGTTTTATCCTCAACAGAAGTCCTCAACTAGGGGTGGGGCCTCATGAACACCTTCCCTGCCCATGCTGAAATTCTGTGGTGACCACAGCACCGCTGTGAGTTCAAGGTCTCATCATGTCCCGGCGACAGCTCTTCACACAGCAGCCCCCCTTTCTGCTCTCACACTTTCCTCACCCTTCTTCTAAGATGCTCCCTGAACGTTGGGTAGGAGGTGCTTTTGGTTTTGGGGGGTTTTGTTGTTATTGTTGTTTTCTGAGACAGGGTTTCTCTGTATAACCACCCTAGCAGTCCTGGAACTAGCTCTGTAGACCAAGCTGGCCTAGATCTCACAGAGATCCACCTGCCTCTGTCTCCCGAGTGCTGGGATTAAAGGTGTGTGCCACCACCACCCAGCAATTTTGATTTTTCTGAGACGTTGTATTATATAGCCCAGGATGACTTCAAACTTGCTATACGCCAAGGGCGCTCTTAAGCTCCTGATCGTTCTGCCCCCTACCCATCAAATGCTGGCATTACAGGCATGTGCTGCTAGGCTCTAGGTCTTTTATTTTGAAGGCTTTCATCTATATTATCTATAATCCCAGGAGCGCTGAGGCAGTTGAGTCAGGAGGAATGTCCAAGGCTGAGACAAAACAATCGTCCCAAAGTTGAGGTCAAACACAGTGAGATTTTGGCCAGCCTAGCAGGATCCTGCTTCACTGCCCTCTCCCACCAAAAAAGAGGGTTGATAACAAAACAGCTGGAGTAAGTAGCTCAATTGGAGAGCACTTACCTGCCCTAGGCAAGGTCCTGGGTTTCATCCCCAAGTACCAAGAAAAAAAAAAAAAGTAAGACTAACAAAGCAAAACTAACTCCTTCCATTACCTCCTGTGGGCTCCCAGCTCCTGCCTCTTGTTCACTCAATATAAAGTCACCTCCCTGGGAAGCAGCTATTCCTCCTAGTGGGAGGTCCCCAGAACTCCTGGGAAGGCTGACTTGCTATGTTCATGAGAGCCCATTCTCTTGGTCAACTGGAATCCAACTGGACTCTGCAAGCATTTTCTGGGCGTCTACTACATACAAACGCTATGTTGAGGACTGAGAGCTGAGACACACAGAAGTAAAGGCAGGGGACTTGTAAGCGTGCTGGGGAAGGCAGCGTGGAGCTCTCATGAGAAGCAGTGCAATCTGGTTGTGAACAGACTCTGGGCAGTGTGGAAAGAGTACTCTGTGAGACTCCAGAGGAAGAAGCCATTAATCTCGGTCTGCTTTTAAAGAACACGTAGCAGGGCTGATGAGATGGCTGAAGGGGGAGCGGTGCTTTGCCATCAAATCTGATGACCCGAGTTCAATCCACACACACGTACTCACTGCATAGGAGGGGCTGGGGATGGAATTCAATTGGTAGTGGAGTGTTTGCCTAGCTCACGCAAAGCCCTGCTAGGTAGACTCCCCAGTACAGGAGAAGGGGAAGCAGCTCAAAGCCATCAAGGTCAGCTTGGGGTACAGAAGACCCTATTAAAAAGGGGTGGGGGATACACAGAAAGCTTAGCCTCTATCCACGTAGAACTCTCCACCAGCGGGGAGAGAGGGGCATTCGATAAAACCCACCGCGACATCTGCTTTCTCGAGTGACTTGGGGAACATACTACGCACCACGAGCGTCTCTAAAATATCCAAGTCAAACATTCCTGTTTTGTTGAGTAGGTCTCATGACAGGATATAAACCCACATTCTGGGGCTTTCTTCCTCCTCTGCCGCACTAAAACTTTATCTTTCCTTCAAGGCCAAGGTCAGTCTCCCAGTTTTATTTGGGTAAAACACAAGTGCATACAGTAAAAATTATCTTAGGGCTACAGATGCCATTCAGTGGTGGAGGGTTTGCTTGCCTAGCAAATGCAAGGCCCTGGGTTCAATCTCCAGCACTGCAAAATAAATTGGAAAAAAAAATAGGAGCAAACCCCAGCTATGGTGGGGGCGTGCCTATAGTTCTAGCACACAAGAGGTGAAGAAAGGAGAAATCAGAAAGTCAAGGTCAGCCTTGGCTACACAGTAATTTAGAGTCTAGCCTGGGGTACATGAAATTCTGTCTCAAAAGCCAAACAGGGGATTGGAGAGATGGCTCAGTGACTAGAGTTAGAGTCTCAAGCACCCGTGGTGAACAACTCATAACTGGATATATATATATAGACACACACACACACACACACACACACACACACACATATATATATA